GCGGCAGAGAAGGCCATTTTCACGCTGTCAGAGGCCATTTTCACGCTCGCCCTCCTGTGGGCCGACACACTCAGTGTGACCTGTGAAGACAAAATGTGTGCCTAGGGCCCTCAGCAGCGGGCTCACAGGCTCTCAACCAGTCTCCTGCCTTCTGCATCTTGGTCCTGCAGGTCACCCCACCGGGAGGGTCCATGGAAAGGGCTGGAAAGGATCTATCCTACTCCTACTTTTCCACCATGGCCTGAAACGCAGGCACCAGTACCCAGAGGCATCTTCTCAAAAATACCAGGACACTGTGACAGCCAACAACCTATCCCAAAACAGTACCTGGGTCCAAAGAGAAGGTGCAGAGCCACTTGGCCAGCCACGCCTGGGCTGCTGCTCTGCCCTTCTGCAGACAGGGCTTCTGTGACCAGGGAGAGCAGAGGATCAGAACTGGAACCAGTGATACTACTCAGCCATTTGGTCTGGAGGCTGGGGATGGACTCCCGGACCTCTTTGAGGTCTGCAAAGAGACAGACAAGTTGGCCTTGGCCTAAGAGAATAGCCTTGGCCATTCTCTTTAAAGAGTGAACGGCCAGAGGACCAGGCTCCCCTGGGCATGCGGAGAAGCCTGTGCCACCAGGGTGGCCTCCTATGAGGTTGTCTGAAGAAAGAGTAACTAGAGGTGGGAAAAGAAGCCACCATGGGAGCAGACAGGGCAACCCAGATAAGCACCTTCACACCAGCTCCTCTCTGCCACCTGGGTTACCCCAGCAACGAGACCAGGCAGGGGCAGCAGAGAGGAGCAGAAGGGCAGGACGTCGGTGGGGCAGGCGAGACAGGGCCATGGTGGGGGAGCGGGCAGAGGACTGGTTCTGCCTGGGAGGAGAGATGCAGACTAGTTTCGAGGCCAGGCATGGGGAAGTGGCTGGAAGTTGTACAGACTGGTGGGAAAGAAGAGCCGCGCTGCCGCACCAGCACCCTCCAGCCTCCCTGAGACGATCCCGCAGTCCAACGCCTGAGGTCCTGAGAAATGAGGCCCATGGGTGCCTTGCCAGCCACACAGAGGTACCAGCTCAGCCACCAACATGATGTCAGAGCTAGGGTGGTGAAGTCACAGCCTGGGGAAAGGGGAGGGCAGCCAGGCCTTTCCCCTCCCTAATTCTTTCTGAACCCAGGGAAGAGAGCATAGAGGTAATTTAATGCAATGGAGTGGGTGTGTCCCAAACCAGCTCTAAAAGAAAATAAAGAACACCAAGAAGGACTTCACAGGTCCTTGCTGCTCTATCCGGGTGGCACTGATAGGTAGAGATGGCGTGACTAAGACTCTCAACAGAATCTCTAGACCAGGCCTCGTCACAATGTCTAAGCCTTCAGAGAGTAAACCTGCCTATTAAAAAAAAAAAAAAAGGGACTCCTCATTTGGTTCAAGGGTCACCTGGTACCTTTAGGAGCCTATTGGGGCCATCTCAGGCATCTCTCTGCCATTTGATCTCATGTCCCAGGCATAATAATGAGAAGCTCCCCTCTTATCTGAGCTCACCCAGGAATCAAGCCCCACCTCCCTGCTCCATGCTGATGCCTCCTAGCAGAGCTTCCTTCCAACATCAGCACCTACAGGCCTGTGAGGCGGGAGCTGGGGATGTTCTGTCCCGGTTGCTCAACCCCCTCACACTGGCTCCGATTTGCATTAACTGAACACGCTCGGGGCACATGCCACCCTCCTTTTCAAGAGACCCAGGCCTGCATGATAAGTTGCTCCCCCAGCAACAGGCACCCACCAAACATAGGTAAACAGCAAGGCCACAACCCCACGGGAAAAAAGGCAGAGAACTTCAGAAAGCAGCAGCTCAGGCACACGGTTAGTTAATCTTCAATCACTTGGGGAAAAATCCCCTCCCAAGAGCCTTTGAGTGGGAGCTGCCATTGGCAGGGCAGAATTACCTAATCTGCCTGGTACCCCTGAGGCTGCCTCATCCATCCGCCTGCCCCCAGACTCGTCAGCAGGGCCAACCAGGCACACAAAACTCTCCAGCAAAAGACTGTCACCCATCCCTCCCCAGGATCCACTGAATATCCCTGAGCTCTCCTGGGCTGTGACTCCTCATCTTACCCAGACTATGGAGGAGAAGAGACCAGTTCCTCCATGAAACTGGGACACAGATATTCATCTCCCCCCAAGAACAGACCATGTTTAAAGGTGGTCTCTAGTCAGACCCAGTCCCTTCTCAGAACTTCTTCCCTCCCAGATACAACTTCTCACTCCATTGACAAGTCTTAGATCCCAATCTGTTAAGGCCCCAACTCATTTTATAGCCAGAATTAGATAACAGGAAAAAGACATCTCCTTTCCTCTCATCATTGTCATCATCAGTAACAATCACCATAGGTCCCATTTGTTGAGCAGGCAGATACGTGCCTTACATGTCTCTAATTCAGTTCTCCCTCCTCGACAGCTGGGGAAACAGGCTCGCTAAAGCTCCATGACTTATCCAAGATCACACAAATAGTAGTGGCAGAGCTGGGATTCCAACTCTGGCCCAGTTCCTTGAAATCATCCCATTTGCCACCAGGAGAGAGGGTGTCTACAGGGCCTGGTACACAGGAGACACCCAGAAAATAGTTGTTCCATAAATGACTCAAAACCTGGATGGCCAGTGCAGGGATGGGTGAGTGGGTGAGCAAGTTCAATGAACTCTGCTTATCTCAGGAGCAGCTCCAAGGCACACAGGAAGTGGCAACTGAGGCAAGAAGGACCTCTCAGCTGCTGTCCCCTCGGTGCACGCCACTGCTGCTAGGAGGGTCCGTGATTCAGAAATGGGGGAAGCCAGGCACCTCAGGTGGCCTCCCCCTTCATTCACCTAAAATCTGCCTTCCGCATCTCTGGGAAAGCCCCTTTCCCTGAGTTCCCCCTCAGGGTTGGCACCTGCCTCAGGCAGGGAAGAGGGCCCGATCCTGAAGAGTGGTGACCCTCCCGTCACATTAAGACAAATGTGCATAGATCCTGTGCACAGCCACTGCCTCTGGGAAGAGCCATTTCCTTAAGAACTCTGACCACGGTGTCACTGAAAGAGAAGATGCTGGGGTTGCCCCTTCCCCACACCCCCCTTGCATTGGGGCCTTCATCAGTTTTCCCCAGCAAGGGCCCCTGATCTCCAAGGGAGGACTGGAGAGCGCCAGGGCTGTGACCAGGGCAGCTGCCAGCCCTGGCGAGGCTGCCGGCCCCATCTCCTGGAGCGCCCAGCAGGAAAGGCGGTTCTGAGAAGGCAGCGAGCAGAAGGACCCGCAGACGCAAAGGCTCATTACAGGGAATGACTAAGTGAGCTGCGATTCCAGGGGAAACCCCACTCGCTTCTGCTCGCTGAGACGCTCATCCTTGAGCTATTTTGACTAAGGCGGCTTCCAGGTGCTGCCCTCCGCTGGGGCAGCCCACTGACAGCAACCGGGTTGCTGGAGGACCCTCTGCCTGGAAGTCTTGGTCCTGGCTATTCAGGTCGTCTGACAGGTCTGCCCCACCCGTTTCCAGGGCGGGAAAGTCTGCCCATCCCTGGTTAAAGCGAGATGCTGGGAATGGGGGAAATCCGATCAGCACCTCCTAGGTTTTTGCGGCTGGATTTCAATAAGGAATGTGACAGTCTCGCAGCAGCTGTGCCCTGCCTGAAACAAGCTCTATTTGAAACCTCCAACAGCTGAACCCCTCCCAGCTACGCGCTGGCCAGCCCGGCCAGCCACCCCCTGCCCCAAATGACAAATAAATAGAAAAATCCAAGCAACAAGCAGGCGCATGCATACGTACACACATTACACACATATACACACACACACCAACAAATTGGGGGTGGGGGTATCGTGGAGCCACTTGTCCACTGATTCCCAGGTCTCCAAGCCTTCCAGCCCACAGCAGGAGAGCTCCCCGGCAAGCAGAGCATCGGCAGAAACCCACCTTCCTCCATCTCCATTCCCTCTGGGAGGGAAACCCCCTCCTCCGTCTTGGGGCTGGACTGAGAGGCTGGAGCAGTGGGGCCAGCTCCCCCCTAAAGCCAGTGCCTGCTGTTCTCCATCCGGGCGCACACTCACACACACACTCATCTTTATTTATCCCAAGGAGAAGGAGTTGAGGTGGGAGGGGAGAACTGGGGCTGAGCTGGGGCGCGGGCTCGCGGGGACCGCCTGGCAAGCCCTGTCATCCCATCCCAAGGAGAGGTGCTCCCCCAGCTGATGCCAAGGCGGCGCCCAGCTGCTCTGCCCAGGTAACACCTGTAGCCATTTTATCAGGAGATGTTTACAAAGCGGCAGCAGGTTTATTCTGAGTCCTCTCTCCTGAGGGAAAGGACCACTGATTTCCTCCACCTATATTTTTACCCCATGCCCTCAGGAGACACAGGTCATGAATGGTTTTCTGTTTTGCCTGAGTGTTTCTGAGAAGAGGAGGGAAATAGAAACTTGGGAAGAGAGGAAGAAGACAGGGAGAGAAGGGACTTGGGCAATGGTATGGAATCCCCACCCCCCACCCAGACATTTATTTCTTTTTTATCCTCAGGAAAATGGAGTGGAGCAGGGAGGGGAGGAAAGAAGGGGAAGTCGCAGGAACTGGCAAACACATCAAGGCGGAGTGTAATTAATTGGTGCGTTAAGCTGCTGGGTTATGCTTTAGAACCAGTGAGCCAGGAGGAAAAGGGATTTCTCAGAAGCGATTATTTAATCCTCCCTAACAGAAAGTCTGCAAATTAGACACAGTGTGTGGGGATGTCCCCTACCCCCTAAAGGAAGCGAGGAATGAATTCTCCCAGGATCAAGAAGGAAAACCACGGGAAGTTAGAGTGTTCAATATAACTGAGCAAGTGCCTCTCACCACCACCACCACCTCTCTCTCCCAGTCTCCCTCCCAATCTCTCTCAATCTCTCTCTCTCTCTCTCTCTCTCTCAATCTCTCTCTTTCAATCCCCCTCTCTCAATCCCTCTCTTGCTACCTACATATTCCTTTTGTTCAAGGTATAAAGAGAAACCACAGCCCCTACCTTTGAGTACAAACCCCAAGAGAGCTCGGTCTCTATCACCATAACAACAATTCCAAACATCCCAAAAATCAGAGCATAGTCACTCAGTCGCTTTCTCTTTTCAAACAGGGCCCTCCTGTGTCCCAGCTTATAGCCAATGTTTTGGTTTTTCCGCTTGTTGGCTTTGGGGAAGGTGGTGCTGCTGGCGGTGGTGCCGGCATGCTGGTGGTTGTGGGTGGCATTAGGGTGATGGAGCAGGGTCTGGTGGGCATGGTTGTCCTCCCGGGAGGAGATGACGATCTCCGGGGGGTTGCTAGGACTGAAAAGCTGGAGGGGTTGGCCCTCAGTCTCGGCCTCGATGAGGTTCCTCCGGGAGGCGCTGAGGCGGCTGAGGGGCTTCATGACCCCACCGCTATACTTGCAGGAGCTCATGGCGATCTCCGTGAAGGGGTTGCTGTCCCGCCGGTGCACCAGGGGGCTGGCCTGCCGGTGCCGGCTGCCTCCGCCAGGCCCACTTGTAGCTGTGGAACTTGGAGAGTGGCCAAGCAAGTGGTCATTGAGATTGAGCTGGCTGCCTTGCCTGGAGGAAGGGTGGAGGATGGCGGTGGAGTTGGACGAAGGGGGGGGCCTGAAAGCGGTGGGAGAGGAGTGCAGCAGGCCAGGGTGGACGGGCTGGCTCTGGAGTTGGGCGAGCTGAGACAGGGGATGCGGTGGCTGCTGCTGCTGCTGCTGCTGCTGCTGCTGCTGCTGCTGAAGCTGCGGAGGCTGAGGCTGCAGCGAGGGTCCCAGGGGCTGCTGGGGGGCTGCTGGTGGCGCTGGCGGTGGTGGCTGCTGCTGCTGCTGTTGCTGCTGCTGCTGCTGCTGCTGCTGCTGCTCATCCCCAGAGGATGGACAGGGGCACTTGGGGTCTTCATCCAGGTCCCCAACCCCAGAGTCATGGAAGTGCCCAGAAGTGTCCATCTTGGGGCCTGGCTGTATTCCCTGCAGCACAAGCCCCCACCCCAAAGCCACCCTCGCTCCAAAGATGTCCTCAAAGAAAGCCAGGCATCCAATCTCCCCCACCAGTGTCTTGGCTCCAGTCCTCTCTCTTTGGCTTGCTTCGGTTCTCTGGGGCTGCCTGGAGTCCAGACGCTGCCACTCAAGAATGCATTGTATTGGGCAGGGAGGGAGAGCAGGAGGGGAGCTTGGAGAAAGAAGAGGGGGTGAAAGAACTCTCCCAGGAGGTGGTCCTCTAGGAGCGTGTGAGGCCAGGATCAGCTTCACTCCTCGCTGGCTCAATAGCTTCGCTCGCCTCCTCCTGCCACTGTTACATTGTAAGCCAAGCCCACTTATTAGCAGCTGGTCTCATTGGCTTGGCTTAACTCTCCAACCTCCTCCTAGCTCCGCCCCCCGCATAGGCTCCTCCCCAGAGGAGGGGCCTGGCGTCCTCGTCTCCGGCCCCAGTGGCTGCGCAGCGAGGGCTGGGAACTGTAGTTTTTGCTCCCCGACCCCGGAGCTGAGCCACTGTCCCCTTTCCTCTGACAGGTATGGCCACAACCCGCAAGCCCACGGCGATAAGGGATGTTCGCTCACGCTGGGCGATGGGGAGGAGGGACAGAAGGCCTCCGAAGGAAGGGAGGTGTGCACCCTGATGAGGGGGCAGACGGAGGGGAAGGCAAACATTTATTAACCACCAGGGTTTACGATAGGTTGTTTCACATATATTATCCGGATACATTCTTCAAACACCCAAGGAGGTGGGCAGTATGGTCTCATTTACAAAGCCTCATGCTTAGAGATGTTGAGTAACAACGTCAAGGTCACAGAAGCAGGGGGGATCCACGCCTCCTAACACTGGGTGGATAAACTCACCTACCATTGATTGAGTGCCTACGCCGCGTGTTCAGGCACCTCTCTGTTATTTCCAACCCTCACATCAACCCCACGAAAATGATGTCATCACTCTCCTTTTACAGATGAAAATTGGAAGAAGAAGAAGGAGGAGGAGGAGGAGGAGAAGAAGGAGAGAAAGGAAAGGGGAAAAAACACTCAAACACTCAAACATAGATACGTAACTTGTCAGATGTCACCCCGCTTGTAATTAAAGGTGCTGGGATTTGAACTTAGTCAGTCTGACCCTACAGATCCTATACTGTCTCCCAGGATGCATTTCCACTATGATACTCAGTACAAAGTGGTTGTTCAATAAATATTGTTCAAATGTTGGATAGGGGAAAAACCAGAGAAGCTGCTGAGGAAGAACTGGCCTCTCCAAAGCAGGGTGTGTGAAGCGGACCATGGCTCCAGCCCTTTCCCTAACAGCTGGGCGTGGAGTCACAGGGCGATCTGACAGGAAGACTGAAGATTCCCCCATGGTCGTTCCCTGCCTGATTTGTCCCATGGGGCTCTGAGAGTCAGAGCTAGGAACAGCTGCTGGCTTCCCAGGTTCAGCATCATCATCAAGTATTTATTAAGCTCCCACTGTGTGCAGAGGGGGTTCCAAAGGATGGGACCAGAGCTGAATTCATTTTCATTTCTAACCACAGCAGCATTAGGAATCAGAAAGGAAGTCACCAAGAGGGAATTCCCCAGCACACTTGGGGTTTTAAAAGGCAGGCCTCTTCCTCTCTGGCTCTTGATTCCCCATCACCCTTTGGCCCCTGTGCAGCTCCCTCCCTAGATGGGAAGAGGAAAGGGTAGGAGATCCATGCACACATACACGGACACACACTCAGAAAACATGTAAGCAAGTGGACACACATGCACGTGTGTACATGGTTGTGTGCACACACTAGCCCATGCACACACACATGCACACATATACACATAGGAAACTTCTAAAGCAGCTCTCCTGACTGGTAAGCAGCAAGTGTCCAGGTCAGGGAGGGACAGAGCTCCCCCCAAATGAGCCCAGAGTCCCCTCTGTATATCAGTTCTCACCTCTTCAATCCCCCATTAACCCTGAGATTGAGAGCTAAATATTACTTGTAATACAAGCCACAACCCCAGATACCTGACAATTGCTCTTGCACAATAATCTTGATTCTGGTCAGGCGTGGTGGCTCATGCTTATAATCCCAGCACTTTGGGAGCCCAAGGCATGAGGATTGATTGAAGCCAGGAGTTCAAGACCAGCCTGGACAACATAGCAAAACCCAGACACTACAAAATTTTTTAAATTAGCTGGACATGGTGGCGAGTGCCTGTAGTCCAGCTACCCAGGAGGCTGAGGGAGGAGGACTGCTTGAGCCCAAGAGTTTGAGGCTGCAGTGAGCTGTGATAGTGCCACCACATTTCAGCCCAGGTGGCAGAGCATTACCCTGTCTCTAAAAAAAAAATAAAATATAAAATAATAATCTTGATTCTTATTATTATCAATGACATAGTCATTCCCCCTACCCCTGCCACTACACACACACACACATACACACATACACACTAGAAGTCACAGCACCAGGCCTCAGATGCAAGCCTGGGGTCTCATGTGTTTTCCCATGACCAGGCCCTCTAGCACCTACCCCCAACCCCTTCAGCATCCTCTGCCTTCCCTGCCCTTCCCTTCTGTGTTCCTGATTTCCCTCCCACTCCTCCATCCCCAAACAGAGCCACCTGCTTGGTTCAAGGCTCCAGATCGCATACTTAGATTTAATTATCTTCTAATAAATTATCATGAATATGTTGTTAGTAGCAAAAATGTGCTGTTCTTGTTGGTTTTTTAGTGCTGGATACAGTTTCTGGGCTGTGAAAAATCAATTTTGGAGAACAGACTCCAGGCCTGGGTATTTCTGTACTCACTCCACCCCCATAAGCTGCCTTCTGCCTCAGCTAACCTTTCTGGCCAGACTCTTGCCTCCAGTTCTCCTGGCGGTGCCAGTGGGATCCAAATGGGACCTATCAGAACATGTCCTGCCATCATGGATGAGGATGAGAGATAGCTTGGGCAGAGCCGTAACTATGCCAGCACCAAATATCAGTGGTTATCTGGAAATGGGCTGCAACTTGACAGCTGATGCCACTGAGCCAGCTCATGCCCCTTGTTACGGCTATCCTGTCATGAACAGGAGGAGAAGGAGGAAGACAGTCATGTTTAAAGCTTGGGCTCAAGTGTCAGACTGCCCAGGCTGGACCCCTTCTCTGCCACAGGGATGGCTGTGTGACCACAGGCAAGATGACCTTCTGATCATCCATATACATCTCTTCCTAACTCCACAGTGACGTCACATTAGCAGCTTGAAATCAGTCATGATCAGAGTATTTACACCACAGAAATTGGCTAACACTGTAAATTAGAGCTTGTGTTTTCCTGGAAGCCGCTTGCTACACCTTTTCCTAGCTGTTCAACATTTATTGGCACATTACTGCTTCCTATATCCTTATATACAGGTTGTGCACTCCACCCTCTGCCTTACTTCTCACCAGCACAAGCTTTGCCACTTGCCCACTATGTGACCAATTGCTTATCTTCTCAGGCCTTCAATTTCCTTAGTTCCAGTGAGAGCACCGGCCAAGTACTTTGTAACTGTCAAGCACCAACAGGTTAGTGAATAAGCTGGGAGCTCTCAATCACAGGGCCTGATCATGTCAGGTTTTCCACACTGCCCTCCTCTTGCACCGCACTCAGGCGTCTTCCCGCTGTTGCTGCCTGTTCAAAGCCCCACTATTGAAAAGCCCTCAATGCTTCCCTTGGCCCCCAGCCACAACCGTGTCTTCACAGCAGCCTGTGACTTGAGGCCATTACCCATTTTATAGATGAAAAAACTGAGGCATTAAACAGATTTTAAAACTTGCCCAGAGTTACTAATTAGTATTAGTAACCAGTCATAAAGCTGGAATCAAACCCAGGCTTGTCCAACCTCAAAGCTCAAACACTCGCCATATGTCCTGAAACCCAAATTTAAAGGATTCATTCTTACTGGTATTTATTAAACATTACCATGTGACTCACGTACCCAACCCTCAGGAACTTAAAGTCTCACTGTAGAGACAAGTTACACTCACATGGGGTGACGAAAAACAGCAATGAAGATCCCAAAGTGTGGTCGAGACAGTAGAGTTCATTGAAGGCAGAGGGTTGTCAAGGGTGGCTTCCTGGAGGTGGTGGGACGTAAGCCACACATTAAAGAATGGGGAGCAACTCCTTATGCTGCCTTAAGATGAGAGGCTGACAAATTAGGACTCTTTAGTCTGCAAAGGGGGGTGTGGAGGAGCTTCTTACCTCAGAGAGACAGAGAGAGCAGACAAGGAAAGTACGGGTGGCCTTGGCTCCACATCAAGCGTGCTGGAGCTGGGTTTCTGCCCTCCTTTCCAGGCTCATTCCTCACCACCTTCCTCCTTAAGGCCCAGCATCACCAACCTATTGTAGCTCTCCCATAAGTCATGCTATTTCACATCTGCATGCCCTCTGCCTGGCATGCCCTTCCCCCAGATTTCCATCTAACACATTTCTCTTTGCCTTTCAAGACATGGCTCAAAGGTCTTCTTTCTGAGAAGCTTCCCCTGAACTCCCCAAACCCAAATCAGGAGCTCCTTCTGTATTTTCAGTCCCCTATGCTAACAGGGCCTCTACAGAGCAACACAGCTATATCTCCATATGTGTCCTTTGCCCCTAGACCATGACCTCCTTGAGGGCAGGGATGATGTCTTCTTCACAGCTGTACTGCAGCTCTTCCGAAGAGCTGCTTACAACAGATGCCTAGTAAAGATTAATCGAACTGACTAAACTTGAAACCTGGGTGAGGTCATTTGAAGGCAAGTAAGAGAAAGTCATAGCACTTTTCACAAGAAATCATAAACACAATTTCCTCGTCAGTAAAATAGTGAGATAAAAAAGATAATTTCTAAGATCACTCAGCTTTAAAATTTCATAATCTATTGTCTGTAGAACTTGTTATCCTCGAAAGGTAAGACTAACTGAAAATAGGTTTAAGAAAAGTAGTGGTTCATGGTTCATATGGCTGTCCACAAGCTGTGACCTGCATAAAAGGGCTCTAAATTTTTTCTGTATCCCCAGCACTGATCAGGGTGCCTGGCTATGAATTACTCATTAAAGATTTATTGGTCGGATGTGGTGGCTCACGCCTGTAATCCCAGCACTTTGGGAGGCCGAGGTGGGAACATCACAAGGTCAGGAGTTCAAGAGCAGCCTGGCTAACATGGTGAAACCTCGTCTTCACTAAAAAAAAAAAAAATACAAAAATTAGCCAGGCATGGTGGCGAGCGCCTGTAATCCCAGCTACTCAGGAGGCTGAGGCAGGAGAATTGCTTGAACCCGGGAGGCGGAGGTTGCAGTGAGCC